GACTTCTTCGGGTCCGGGCTCTGAGTCTTCTTCGTGTCGGGCATTGGTTTGTGTCAATCGGTTCCACAATTATATCAAATAAACCGACAAAACAATCGTTAGATTGAAACCCAAATAACACTCAATTTTTTTTAGTCGGAAATTACAATTAGTTAACGGTTTTAATTGAAATACAAAAAATACAATTAGTTTTGCCAACAATTTTAATTCAACCCATTATTTGTGTGATTAATGCCATTGCATTGAATGCATTGATAGCGCGGGTGTTATAACACATTAAACGTTTGTTTTGTAATTAATTAAAACTTTTAAATTCAAATTTATTTAACCATTAATTTCGCACAAAATCAATACAAAGTGACAAAAAACTAATAAAATCTAAAGCAATGAATGGATTGACGACAGAAAACGGGGACAAATTGTCGGCCAAAGTGAGGGCCAAATGGGAAAAGTTGTTCAAAATGTTTGACACGTCTAATAAGGGCTCGTTTGGTGTGCAGGAGCTGTCATCGGTAGTCAAGGCGTACGGCCTGTCGATCCCGGACCAGGAGTTGCGGGAACTGATCGCCGAAATGGACATCAATGACACCGAATCGGTCACATTCGACGACTTCGTCAAAGTGGCCGTCAAGAAGAAGTTCCTGAGGTTGCGGCTCCTCCGCGACTCCCTCCGCAAGTTTCACAAACTATCCCTGCCGTTGCCGAAGGACAGCCAGCTTCTCGAGTCTGTGCGCTACGTCTGGAATCTACTGTTAGTCTACTGTAATGAAGAGTTGGACGAAATGGTGGCCGAAGTCGATGTCAACGATTATCATGAGATCAATTACGAAGAGCTCATCACTCTTATGACATCCGTTCCCAAATAGACCACACATTTATCGGGCCTTCAATTATAGATTTTTTGTCCCGAAATATATTTGATTAAATATTAATTGCTAATTATATTCATGTATTAATTTATTCAATAATTACTGTATATTGTGCATGGTTAAATTGTTTTATTTAACTATATGTGCAACCAATTCTAGGACCTTTATCTTTAGGAAAAAGTCAACACACACACCATCTGTGAGTCAATACCAGTCAATACACGATATCAAGCTTTAGTACAGTTAATGCTATTTCATTACAATAATATTTACTTTAACCTAAAGATAGTGGTCCTAGAATTAGTTGCCTGATAGTTAAAATTAAAATCAGAAGAATTATTTTAAAAGTTACAAAACAAAATATCTTGTTTAGTTAATCACTATTGTATTTATATCAAATAACAAATGCAATCTAGTTCATATTTCGCTGGTAACTCGCGAAAAGTATACCAAACAAAAATGCGAGCTTGGTAATTAAATAGCGTAACGTTTAGTTTTAAGAATAAATAAATTCCCCTGAAACTTTCAAACTTATAAGTTACACTACATACAATTTCAATACCCCCTATTCCCCCAAATAGGAGCTACTGTTTAGTATACGTTATATTTGAACGACTCGATCATATGTTGCATGAGATTTAAATTTCAATACAAGTGTTTTGACTATAAAAATAAATGACAAAACTTTTGCGTTTAGTTAATTGTAATTAAATTTAGTTTAGTTTTAATTATATAACCCAATTATAGGCCACATTTCAAACGGGGTAAGTGTGCTGTCAAACCAATGTTGCCATTCATTTAAACCATGTTTAAAAATTTGTGTTTTTAATGCATTTATAAATTATAATTAATTTAATTGCGATAACAATTAGTTGTTCACCGATTGTCACCGATAATGAGCGCACCGGACGTCCCGACCGAACCGTTCCCGTTGTCGGCACTGTTGCCGAAGAGGGAGACGACCGCCGCCTCCTTCCTCACCAAATACCCCGAATATGACGGCCGAGGCGTGAAGATAGCCGTTCTTGACTCAGGCATAGAACGCCTTCGACTCCTGGAGTTTGGCAAACAGTTTGATGGCTCGACCGAAGTGTCGGTGCAAAAGGGCGTGACGTTCGGTAAATTTGGCCACTTTTTGGTCGTAAGGATCGGTGAGTTTGCAGATCTCGGCGTAAACTTGATTCACGTCAGAGACAAACTGGTCGCCAGTCGGCGATAGTTTGGCGTCAGACCCAGTGGTCGAGCCCGCGGTCTGGGCGTCAATTAGGTCACAGATGGCGATACCCTTCTTCGCCAGCGCTTCCAAAACAGTTGTCTTTTGTTTCTCCAGACTTTGAATGCAATTAACAAATAATTTACAAAACATTAAAAAACTGTATTTTCAATACTTTTTGAGTGCCGTATCGTTTGTATTATTGGTTGAATTATTGGTGTCCTTCTTCTCGCTCCTCACGACAGCCAACCAAGAGATCAAATCATTAACTTTTATCAAATCCAAGACATCGTTCGCCAAATTGATTTGAGTGGTCAGGTGTTGGCCGCGTTGAGGGTCGGCGTCCAGCGCTTGCATTCGGGCCAACAATAGCTGAGTATTGGCTTTGTTTGTAGCCTTAAGTTCATTGAACACGTCTTCCGATGATTTACCCTTTAATCTGAAGATAAGACAAACAAAAATAAATAAAAACTTCAATCAAAACACATTTAAAAATAAAATAATACTTTGAAATCCAGGATATCTTCAGATCACTCAACGCTTCGCTGAACTGTTCCTCCAAAGACTTTTCGGGCAAACCGTCGGCAGTGGTCTTCTTGTCGGCGGAGTCTTCGGCACTATTGCTGTCGTTGTCTTTGGTCTTCTTCTGTGGTTCGCTGTCGACCACGTATTTGAAGGCAAACTGTTCCGCTTTTTTGCGAACCTCTGATTCGGTGAACGTTATGTGACCGGAGAAGTAGCCGCCGGCGGCCACAGTCAGACCCTTCGGTGGTTCGGTCATCGCCGCCACAAACACCGGTTTCTGACAGTTTGGTCGCAACACATGAGTATTAAACTTCTTGCCATCAGTGATGGCATTCTTGTAGGTCTCGTAGAGACTCAACGACGCGCCGGGAGTCAGCTTCTGGTGAACATTGATCGACAGATCCGACAGTTTGTCCAATTGTGCGACCAATTCGTGACGGATTTGCATCCGAACAGTGTATTCGCCTTTTTCTAGATTCACCCAATACTAGCCATCAAAGGGATAATTGACATAAGTTTGGGATCAGTTTCATAACTGTTAATGAATTGACAAATACATTCCAAATGATTGGATAGGCGTCTCCGGTGGCCAACAATTGCTTAGTATTTGCATCAAAAATCATCCAAATTTGCGAATCATATTCCGATTCAAATAAGACATCCGATAGAAGCGGACACGAGATGTAAACTACGGTCGCTTTGGACTGAGTTTTAAGACAAAAATCATTTTTAAAAAAATAATAATAATGCCATTAAAATGCAAACCAATTGAAAATTATAATTCAAAACATTCTCATAGATCTGTCGACCAATAGGTATGACATCGCGAGCAGTGAGGGGACGAACTTTACTCTCAACGGGTCTATAATTAAACAATAAAATTAATTGTACCGTAAATAACATAAAATTGGGTCAATTCTTGCAGACCTTAAGGGCTGAACGTATGTCTCCAGCAGAATATTGGGCGAAATCACTTCATAACCAAAGTTTGATTGAATGTCTAATCGCAAAATGCCTTCACTCGACAACTGATTCGTTAAAAAACAATTAATAATTAAATATATGATTAATTTCAATATAATCTATAATACCATTGTGTATGAGTCAAGTGAGGGCTGGAGGCCGTAAAATTCAACACTCAATTGAACTGAAGACTCGCCAATACTCGACCACCACTTCCCGAAACAGATCTCAAGAGTACGACCACTTTTTAGGGGAATAGCGTAAGTATTCTCAGCCAACGGTTCCAATGAAAAGAACTTTTTGGCAAAATGGGTTTGATTGGACAGCAGTGGCGACAGTTGTTGGCAGTGAATGACAAACAAACCGCTCTCTTGTGGGTCCAGATTCTTGGCCCGAATGACCACCGAATTCACTGTCGAGGGTATGTCCACGAATTGACGCATAAAATAACCCGGTTTATAGTGTTGAGTGCTCTCGAGTTGTTTAGAATCGGGTATTCTATGGACGCAATTATCCAAGCATTTAGTTAAGGCATAGAAATTCTGGTGGTTTTACTTCATGGGCTTCATTACGGAGACGGGAATGTGAAATACGGGACCCTTTTCTATGCAATTCGTATCGTAGGCTCGGATCTAATGGTTTAGTAATTAAGTATATATTTGGCTATTGTATCAATTGATGGCACGTATGATACATACGAACGCGAAGTGTTCCCTCCCGTCTTCCAGTCCTCGCGGATCCACTTTAATGAAGAACACTCTCGAGCCGAACGTCAAATGCAGAAACGACGGACACGTTATCCACTCGTTGTCACAAATGAGACTCAAATTCATCTCTAAATCTACTTTTCGTTTGTTATCTAAAATACAAAACACTTAACACTACTTTTAAGTTAAAATATGTATGTCTCAAAATATACCGATTTGTTTGTCATTCAGAAAAATCGAGTCAACTCTAATTTGTTGTATCGATGGATTGGCCACCTCTTCGGGTTGTCGGAGATAAACGCCTAAATTCTGGCCAATAGTCACGTGAAAGCGGACATCCCTTTCGACTGAGTCTTTAAATTGAGTCAAGTGCTCGAAGGCTTTCTCTACCTATATATCAAAGAATATATTACAGAATATTCTGTAATAAGAAAGAGATGTCTGAACAGCACTTGTATGAGTCCGTGTCCGTGAGTGAAGGGCTCGTAGTTTTGTATACTCTTGAGAGCAGTGTTCTCTATACTTCTGCGGACACTATAAGGCGAGTAATCGATTGCCCGGGCCTTCAGTCCGGACACCAGAAGACACACACATCCGGCAACGTTTGGCGACGACATTGACGTTCCGTTCTTTAACATCGATTTCATTCGACACCAGTTGGGCACCGATGTTATGGCACCGCCCGGAGCCGACACCGACACTCCCAGGTCTCCATTTGCGCTATCATTTAATCAAAAACATAATATTAAACACAAAAACAAATCCATAAATATATTGTAGCCATACGTCGGGCCCCTCGACGACCAGCTGTAGTTCATTCCGGGCATCTTCTTAAGCATAGAGTACTCGGCGGCCATCATATCGGGCGATACGTAAGCGCCGACTGATATCATGGATGAAGAGTGCATTGTTGACGGCGTCCAGACAGTGGACAGAGCGGGACCCATGTTTGCAGCCGCGACCACAAATATAACGCCGTACTTATTGACAATTTCGTGTATGAAATCCAAAATACGGCTAATATAACAGAAAATAACAATTAATTGGCAAACATTGCGGACACAAAACCAATGATCACACAAACCCTTCGGCGTAATGGGCGGCCTCTCCGTAACTCATGTTAATCACGTGACACCCGCTCTCTATTACTCGGACAAGTGCTCTGAAAGTCAATTAATAGTTTTAAAATAGTCAATAAATCTTCAGGCAAACCTCATTAAAGCGGTTCCCGTCTCCATAGGTGTCACTCTCATGTCAGCGATACATATGCTGACGATCTGAGCGCCCGGCGCCACACCATTCCTCTCCGGTTCGTTCGGGAAATGCGCGGCCGCTATACTGGCCACGTGTGTCCCGTGAGGCGCTGTTTTGGGACATAATTTAATGCATTTTTAGTACATAAGTAATTATAAATTATTTACTAAATACTGACAACATATTGAGACAATTTCCAAAACGTTTCCCTCGTTATGGATATTGATTCCATAGTTTAGTAGATCTGTGGCCACGAAGTGAGACATAAATCCATTTAATCAATAATAACTTTAATTATTCAGTCAATACCTCTATTAGAAAGTGTCCCGTATTTCAAACACTCCCTATAATTGCCTAATAGTGTACAGTCTTCTAGTTTGCCGGTGCCTGAAGTGTCCACAACTCCTCTATTCATATAAAAGTTAATGATAAATACCATGAAATAAACCACAAAACTCTTGCATTCATTACTTCCAATGCGTGCCGTCATTAAAGACCACACAATCATAAGTCGGTCCCAAATCCGTAAACTTTTTGTCCAACTGTTTGAGAAAATCAACTCTCGATTGCAAGTCTTCGCGGATCAGTTTCTCTTCGGTATTGTCTGCCGAGGCGTCCGAATGAGTCCTCTCGAACTCCTGGAGCTGTCGCACGGCTTCGGCGATCGCTATCCTCTGCATCGGTTGCCATTCATTCTCCATGTATTCATTTGTCATCATTTCGTGCAAATCAAAGCGCTTTTCTGTTGAGAACAATTCGTAGATATTCTTCACTCCGATGTGGTATTTGCCGGAAGGGTTCTGCCATTGGCTCGGGATCTGATCCGTTAAGACAATCATTACTGTAAAATTGTTTTGTTGTCAATAAAATCAAAACAAACTGACCTTAAGTTTAGTACCCGTCAGACCCGTAATAAAGCCGTCGATATCCGCTTCGACGACAGTAGACGTGTCCACATCTCCGGCGCCCGAGCCGTCCATTAAGTCAATGATCTTCGGTTTGCCATCGCTTGTGGTCTAAAGGATCGGACGATTCAAATGCACTGACATTCACTTCATTTATACAAATTGACATCATTTTGACGATTGAATTGTCAATCGATAGCCTAAACACAGACCTGAAGACCGGGAGCGCCGGGATCTATGCCTGAGTCAAGAACGGCTATCTTCACGCCTCGGCCGTCATATTCGGGGTATTTGGTGAGGAAGGAGGCGGCGGTCGTCTCCCT